TATCACTTTGTGAAAGTGCAGGCGCAACCCGATCCTAGCCTAGGCAGGCTCTCTGCTCAAACCCACCTTCTCGTTAACGGTCTCACCCCAGCAATGCCCATTCTTCCTCCTTCTTGGCCTCCAGCATCGAAGCCTCAGCTTGAGCTTCCAGATGTAGGAGAACTTAGGCCACAGAGAGACAACTCCCTTTGTTGTCTCCTTCCCCCTCCAGCCCTGTCTGTCTGTCTGGTGAAGAACGAATGGGGAAGAATCAGCATTCTTCCTAGCAAAGGCAGGATTTTCCTTCTGAATGCAGGCATCAAAGGTGAACAAGCATCACTGGCTGTCTCCTTTAAATAGTGACAGGCCATTCAAATAAATGCAGATCAGATGGCCTGCCAAGATCAAACCGTGATGTAGACCCCTGCATCAGTCAGAAGGCTGATTTTAATTCAACAGGGAGAAAGGCACCCCTAAAGTCATCAATACTTGAATATCTTTGCCAGTTAAGCATGAATTTTTCTTACCTGCTTGACTATTTCCATTGGTGGGATGAACTTCTCCAGCTGAGATCCTCCTTTACTGAAAGTTAATTCTCCATAAGAGGTCTGGAAGTCGTGGGTTGGCAGCTGAACCTTCTGCTACCTGCAGCTTGTCTGAGATGAGTCTTCTGCTGCAGAAAGTCTAGCATTTTTCTACAAAGTCAATCAGACCTATCGGTTGCTCTGAGGTCAGTGCAAGTGTGCAGTAGGCACGTTGATCCTTGATGATCCAGGAAAGATGTCTGAGCCTTGCAGGGCTGTGGGTCCCAGCGTGCTGTCCTGGAGCAGTGCAGGCACGTTGCCACTTATACCCTCAGCCCCTTCCAAAAACCCTCCCAGCAGAGGTGTCTGAAAGACGGGGAGTTAAATCTGCACCTCCACAAACTGAACTGCCTAGTGAGAGGCTTGTGTGTAAGCATGAGGAAAGCAGGAGGAGGTGAAGTGGTGCTCTTTCTTTGGTTGCCTTAACCCAGGCATCTTCAGGAGCTCTGGCAACAGTTGTGCAATTTTAACAGCCTCGGTTGAGAGGGGCAGATGTGGTGATATTTGTAGTTCAGTTCTGCCACTCTGTAATGGAGGTGTTGACTGTCACTTTGGCTCTTTGAGCCACAGCAAATGGCTACGTTGACTGTCTCTTGCTGATGCTCCCTCTAGCTCAGCTCCGCCAGCTATCCCTGACTGCTTGGACAGAGCAGGTTTCCTCTGTCAGTACTTTTTTTAGTCAGGTGACTATTAGTCACCTGATAAAGAAAAGAGGAAAAATGGTTACTTCTGTGACAGTAATTGTGGCTCTTCCAGGCACCTTCTCCACAGAGGGACCACAAAAGATCTCGTCCTTCGCTCTGAAGGAGTCTTCACTGGTGACAAACCTGAGAGAGGTTAGACTGGAGCATCCTGAGCTTAGTTGCTCCATTACCACCTTGAGCAGCAGCAGTTTCTGGCTTCCTTGGGATGGGCATGTTCATCCTCTTTCTTCCCAAACCAGGATGCCAGCCTGTGTTTCAGCTTTCCCATCGTCAGACCACGCTCCCAGCTAGGACATCAACTCTTGCCCATGTATTTCTCTCTCATGGCTCTGCTCCCTCTTACCAGCCACAGCAAACCTTGCCAGCTCCTTCACATCAGCATCTAAAACCCTGAGATGGGAGCACAGGTTTGCAAACGGCGGGGCTACAGCAGCCGCTGAAGAGGGAGTTTGCCATTTTCCAAAGCAGCACGTTGATGGCAGTGGCACGTGTAATGGCTCTTGCCCCACAGCGTGAGTGAAGAGCAGAGCTGGGAACTGCCATTGCTGCAGATGGCATTAGGTGGTGCGATGATGTGCGTGGCACAGTCCGGGAGCCCTTGGCCTTATGCCGCTGCTGGTAGCAGTTAGGAGGGGTCACAGGCACAGCCTGGATGGACCTTACTGTCTTCAGAGAACTTGATCCTGTTCATGTGAGTACATGCTCACCTGGGATATGTGTGGACAGTGCTTCTTAAAGAATTACAGTTTCCATAAGGTAAGTAACCACTTTTCATTTTGTTTCCTTAAAGAAATATTTAAAACCCAGGATGACTCTGTAATATTATTAAAGCTTTAATCAGGTCTACCATTATTGTGACTCTCAGGTTTCTAGGACCCATCCTCTGTTTTAAAACTGATTAATTTTAAAGATTGGAGCTAGATTCACTGTTCTATATGCAAGGTGTAATGAGAGATACTGTGTTCTCAATGCTGTATTCTTATTATTGCTCTCTTATTTTGAAAGAAAATAACCATGAAACTGGTGTTTCCATTACTGTGCTTGGACACTTTTAAGAAAAGTAAGAAATGCAAGTTAGGAGGAGGATTATTGGTTATATTCGTGTAATGTCTTCATTATCCTTTTAGTTTAGATATCAAATCATGTTTTAAAACATTTTCAAGTACAGCTGTTTTTCAGATTTTTAAAGATGAACTATGAGTTTTGACAAAAAGTGTGTTACTCTTTTTTAATGTTGAAAACAGGAATAAATTATTTAATTTAGGCTTTGGGGGCTTTTTTTCTTTCTTTGATTCCTTAGATGGTAGAAATTCAAATATTGTCTAACCTGGAATTATCAGGCTGTTTGGAGAGTTAGCAAAATTAGTGCCTCACGAATACTGGAAGATCTGATAAATTCTAAGAATTACAATCTGACAAATTATAGAAGTCGTATTTTGTTACTAGTTCCCAAATGGGTTTTGGGCATGTGCATGTGACAATGCTTTTTGCAGTGCGATGCTTCTTTACTTCATGTGGAGAATAATTTGAGCTTTGTTATTCATTAAAAATTGTTCCTAACTCATCTAGTTGAGAAGAAAACTTAATGACGCTATAACTATAAGCAGTTACAAGAAGAATGGTACATCTTTGTCCAGTATTCTGCCTCAGAGATTTTCTAGCACCAAAATTTTCTGAGAAAGGTAGTTTAAAAATCACTGTTATCATGAACAACGGTTGTATTTTGTGCGTAAGAAAGTCTTTTATCCAATGGCTGACTTATTGTCACAAAGCATGGGAATTTTTCATTTTCTGTTTTCACTTAGTCCTGTCAAATGTAGCGGATGTGTTCATTATCTGTACAAACTTACCCCCTTTTGTGTTAAGCTCTTTGCATAATAATGGTCTTGTAAAAGTTGAGACCCCAGCTGATTGTAGGTATAGCATTGCCCTCATCTGGATCCACTGCGTTGTGATTTTGCTGTATTCATAAGGTAATGAATAAGAGTACCTGACCTTCCTTCTTCATTCTCTTCAGTGTTTTAATTACATTTGGTGTTTATCTTGCTTATTTACTTGTTCCAGTGGCTTCAGTTTACCCTGACACAATTGTCTTTCTGTGCCTCTAATGGCCTGTCTCTGAGGGCATCTGCTTTTTGCTAGAGTGGCTTTAGATGTGTGGTGAGAATTGATTACCATAAGCATTTAAGAGAAAATTTTGAATACTGTTGAGAGGACATTGTAGTATTTTAGATAGAATTTGGGGTTTTTTCCAAACCGGAAATAGTCTTTAAATACCAATGGTGGGGGGACTAAGTCCTTGTGGACTTAGTCCATTGCATCTATGTGGCTGTCTTAAATATTGTCTGCTTACTGTGAGCTATGTTAGTAGAAACATCTGGATAATGAAGCTCTTCCTTTCTGCTGCGATAGTGGAAGATGTTGAGATAGGCATTGCAGGGTAACTGATTTATACGGGTCTTGCTGGGAGACGGAGTGAGGGGTCATCAACGTTTTCTCCCTGAAACAAGGTGATTTGGAGACCTCCAAAAGAGGAGGGTTGTGCGCCCTCTCTTGCTCATTAGTTGAAAACAAAGCTTTCACTTTTTCTTTGGGTACTGGAGCTGTTTCTGTCTCCTGCCTGTATGTACAAAGCTGCAAACAAATGCTTCTCAGCTACCACAGAGCTTCAGTCAGTTGTTCTGAAGCACTTTTGCCTTTAATAGGTGTTCAAGGACGCCGGTTTGCTCACATTCATGCTTACCAGCAGAGGAGGCTGGGGCTGTGCAAAGCTGAATGCGGTACCGAAAGGAAGAATACTTTACTGGAGTGAATGGGAAGTGAGAAGGGAAAATGGTTTGTGTGTGGGGAAATATTACATTACTCTGGGGCTCCTGCCAAATACCTTCAGTCTGCTATGCCACGTGGGGTATGTGCACTGTATAGGGCTTCGCCCTTACATATCCGGAAGAGTTGGAGGGGATAAACCTCCTCGTTACAATGAGGCATTGAACATGTTTTCCATGTATGCCTGTGTCATCCAGGAGGCCTTCTAGCAAGAAAAGGAAGACACACTGCAAATTTATGAAAGGATGGTGGCAGGGAAAAGGGAGGTATAAGGGAAATTCCAGAAAGGCCCTCTGGATTTGCTCAGGCACACCTAGACTTGCCTTCTATTGGGATTTACCTGTAGCATGTACATCATTAAGAGGCTTTATTATTTTTTTAAATTAATTTTATTTTCCTTTGCAGGTCACCTTTTAAGCTGCTATTTCCTGTATAATTAAGCAGAATGAAGGCATTAGGTTCTAGTAAAGTTGGGCCTAATCCAGAAATCTTCTCTTATTCAGTCGTTTCTGAGTAAGAAACTCAAGTCTGGGCCCAGCATTTTACGTGTTTTGCTGATATTTCTAAATTATTTGTGATCTGTGGATTTTGTTTTGGTTTTAACTTTATTGAAAACTCTTTGCTTTTGTCTGATTTCATCTCTTTATGTGTTACTGTCCAGCGTAGCGTTAGTTGAAATGATGTAAGTATACTGCAAATTGAAGTGCGTAATTGCTACTGGTAATGCAAGAAAGACTGATTCCTACAGTTTATAATTAACAGTACATAATGTTCTGTGCATGGTTTGGATCTATCCCTTTTAACTTTTCCTTTCTGATTTTTTCCAACCCCCGGTCTTGCCACATCCCAGCCTTTCTAAATATACTAGTTTCGCTGGAGTCTAGTCCATTCTTCCTTTTGTTTTTCAGACCAGTAAAAATGGGAAGTACTGGATTCTGGTTTCCTCCAAGAAGAGTCAGCGGAACTGGTTAAGACCAAAATCTGAGGACTTTAGTGGGCAAACATCAGGTGTGCATTGAACAGAGGCTGCTTTAATCCTGCTTTAAGTATATGCTTCTTTAAAAATAGTATTATATATGAATTTTTTGTGTAATGTGTGTTATATTTGATACTGCATATAATCATTTATCCTGCAGTTGTGAAAACACCAGTAAGAATGAGGATTTTAAGTGATAATATGTTGAGACACAAACAGGCAATATTACTCATAAAAATTCTTTCAGCTGGTCTTTGAAAAGTGTAATATTTGAGGATCAGTGTTTTTTTAAGTTTTACCTCCATTGCTCAGTCTATATATCCACAAGAAAAAATGAAAGTGCTTATTTGTTATTCAGAGATCAATACTGAAGTTCTTAATTGCTTCATCTGTTGGGAAATGGTACTGAGATAATAGTGCGTACCTGTTTTTTAATAAAACACTGTCATTGTCAAAGATTGGATCCACACTATATTTGTTTTAAGGATGCATTTTTAAGGACCCTTAAACACAGTTCAAAGTCAGCTTAATTAGTTTTGATCATAGAGGAACAAGACCTGAATTCTTCATCCATGTGAATGTTCTGAGTTACTTCTGGTACAGCAACTAGGTTACCTGAAGTTTTGGAGAAGGTAACAATAATGATATATTGGCCTGAATATAGGATGGCCTTCAGTCTGATGTGTGATCTTTGCATTGAGAAAAGGAGTGAAAAGTTGTCAGAGTTGTTAATTTAACAGTTAAGCCTCATATGCTGTTCCACAACAAACACTGCTTTTGGCCTCATATAAGACCCTGCATATCACCCTTCTGCATGACCTAATATCCTGCATCTCCCCAGCTTGATGCATGTTTCGTTCCTCCCCACCTCCCCCAGCATTACCAGCTCACCTCTATCCTCGTGTCCTTAGATATTCTCAACCCCTGTGCAGCGCTCCCTGCACCTCCCTGGCCCCACAGCCCCATCCTGGTTCTGTCTGTTGTTCCTCCCTGTGGCAGCTCACCCTCCCTCCCTGCATCCTGCAGGCTGTGCCTGCTTCCCTTGTCACTGGCTGGCCACAGGGGCCACTTGCTGCTGAGCCCTGGACCCTCAGCATGGCCAAATTAACCACACTCAGCGGCAGCAGTCTGTGGAGGTGCTTCCCTTGCCCTTTGCCACTAATGCTGCCTGCCCTCTCCCAGGCTAGGTGTGGATTTGTCAGGGAGGCAAAAAGCCTTTCTTACCCTGTTGAAACTGTAGGTGACATAACCAACACAGCGAGGGCCACAGCTGCTGCACTGTCAGCTCTGTGTGGCAGGTCTCATATAAGTGCCTGTGTGGTATAGATATACTCTGTGTAAGTGTAGATCAGGTTGGATTTTTTTTCTTCCCCCTCCCACTCATCCAACTTCATTTGTCAGGAGAGATTAGACTAAAACAAGACTTCAATCTATATTCAGGCCAATAGGCATAGAAGACCAGTGTGTTCATTTACAGGAAAGCAAAATTAATTTTATTACCAGATTCTGATTAAGGTGTATATTGCAAAAATCTTTCGGTCCACAAATACATCACAACTTTGATGTGAATCAGATCCTCCTTTTGATTGGAATCCACATTGGTGGATTCATTGAAGTCTTTGGAACTGGTCTTCATTTACTTTTATTGCAGAAAATTATTGCTCTCAAGTCTCCAAACAACTGTTTTATTTTTTCACTTATGAACTAGATAGGTGATTATGAGAAAGAAAATAAAATTAAGCTGATACTTTGAAGACCTGTGCATGTTCCCACTCATGGAACTGATGTCTCCAGGCTTCGTCCCATGAGTGGGAATGAGTCCAAGACAAATCTGAAATCATAAAAGTCCTTAAAGAAACACTTCTTCTGTCACTGGGTATCTTTAAGGAGGTTAGTAGTTCCATATAAAATTTGGGGGAGTAAAGGTGGTCCTACAACCATTCTTGCTTAAAGAAGGTAGCATAGTTTTACCTGCCATTCAAGGACTTTAGGGTTGAAAGGCAGCATATTTCCATCTTGGTGTGCCAGTACTTCTCTCCTTTTGTGAACACAAGGGAAAAGTTATGGAGAGGAGGGAGGAAGAGGCATAGAACAAGACTGTACTCTGTGTACATGTTTCAAATGGAGATCTCAGTCTGAAGATTTCATAAAATGCGGACATGAAAGAGGTGCATCTCCTTCTCCGCCTCTCTGCCCCTCCAGCCCTCCTGTTCTGCCCTGCACTGAGAAAAACACAGGCTCTCCTTCCTCCTTGCTTTCTCCCAGGGCTGCGATGAGGCTCTTCCAAGGACCATTTAGTTTTGCCCCCATTGCACCTGGGCACTGCTCTCCACTCCCCCCTGGAGCTGTTGTCTCCCTCCGTCTCTGATGAGCCTCAGTGGGGGAGAGAGGACAGCTGAAACTGGGCCCAGGCTGCCTCTAAGCTATCCAGCCTCCCATCTCTGCCAGCGGGGAAGAGTCTGTTTTGTTTATCGGGGAGGTGGCGTTAGGTTGGAGCAGCTGCGGCCTGGTGCTCCCTGCCCGGCTCCCGGCTGCCCAGCTCCACCTGCCCCAGCAGCTGCTGGCTTCCCCTGCCCTGCTGCTGGGGGCTGTGGGGGCGGCTGGCCGCAGAGCCCCTGGCCCAGCCACTGCCCCCAGCCTCGGTGCAGCCCGGCCCAGCCGCCTCTCACGCAGCTGCCCCGGCAGAAGCCGAAGTGGACAGCAGCTGCGAGCTACGACACCGGGGCCAGGGGGAGAATTGCTGCTTTTGAGAGAAAGGCCAAATTTTGGGGCTTTCTGGCCCTGCCAAATGCTTGTGTTGAGCGCCGTTTTCCTGCTGTCCTCCTCCTCACCCCCGCTGCCGCAGACCTACAATCGACCCTTCCGGCAATGGGTAGCAATGGATTTTGGTATCTATAGTAACAACTGTGCACCGATGATGAAAAAAAAGCTGTCAGCTACCCCTGACAAAGGAGGGCTGTTGAGTGCCCTGTAATGGTAGGCGCCCAGTTGCTACTATACATTACCAGATGATGAATTTAAAGCTGTTCACCCACAAGGCGGACACGAGCATCACGCACCTCCTTTAGCTGAAAGCCTCTGGTTTAATTCACGGTTTGCAATGCTCCAGCAGGACTATGCCTCCATCCTGAGCTAGCCTAAATCTGAACACTTACAGCCCCTACATCTTGTAGGATAGCATGAGGAGGGTGGGGATCTCCAGTGCTGGGCTGATAAAACCCGAGTTCATCTAAACTATCCCTAATCTGTGGGATTTCTGGTGTTAATACATCAAGTCTGTTAGCAGAGGGTAAGTTTACAAGAGAATTTCACCTGGCATTAGCAATCACTGGCAGTGCGTACATTTTACTAGAGTAGATGCATAGATGTGCAGTAATCACAGTGAGGAGGTACACCCGAGAACATGAGTTTTGCCCCCTCAGACTGTCATTATGGGTACTGCTGCTTTTTGCGCAGGTTTTCAAACATTTTGAGGCTTAGAGATTTTCACTTTGATAGCTGTGTGCATGCGTGTGTGTGTGCGTGTGTATGTTTGTGCAAACACCACAGGCACAGCTTTAATTCCTTTGAAATTCGAAGCTGCCAAAAGCTGTCTGGGTAGGTAGGCTCTTAGCCTGATGCCTCCCATAATCTGACAGAAACTTTGCTGTTCTCCGTCAGTGCCTGAGGGGAAGGTTGTGAGGTGTGATTTCAGGGCATATGTGGATCTGTTCATCCTGAGCAATGCATTTTAAGAGTTGCAGCAAATAGTGTAAAGAAACCTGCAGGTATTACATTAGACCAGCTGAACCTAGTTTTATTTTTAAGTTTTATTCAGAAGCATCACATAGCAAGTAAACTTCAAAATCTAAGTTTAGTTACAAACTAGTTGTTTCTTATTTTTTTTTTCCAGTCCCCTTTTGCTTTCTTTTACGACCACATGAAACTTGAGAAGCCATCTAAAGCTAAATCATTTAGTGGAGTTGGGCAATTCCCAAGTGTCCAACAAGAAGGCCTGGTTTAGGCTGCGATGGCCACTGTCATTCCTGGTGATTTGTCAGAAGTAAGAGATACCCAGAAAGTCCCTTCAGGGAAACGTAAGCGTGGTGAAACCAAACCAAGAAAAAACTTTCCTTGCCAACTGTGTGACAAGGCCTTTAACAGTGTTGAGAAATTAAAGGTTCACTCATACTCTCACACAGGAGAGAGGCCCTACAAGTGCACACAACAAGACTGCACCAAGGCCTTTGTTTCTAAGTACAAATTACTAAGGTATTAAACTCTATTTATCTTTCAGATTATATTATCTATTTTATGTTGGCCGTGTTAAGCCGTGTAAAAGTATATATTTGTGTACGCCTTCAGCTGATTGCAGAGAGGATGTGTTAATTAAAGTAGCCATTGGATTGTTTCTAGAATTCTAAATTACCTAAGTTTGCAAGCTAATGTCTTGATTTTGTTTCTTAATTTGTTTTCTGCTTTTGTTTTCTGTTTGTTTGTTTGTTTGTTGTTTTTTTTTTTCTTTAATGAGCATAGAATTTTCATTTGTATAAGGAATTGTCACAAGAAAAAGAGTATGGACTGAAAATTTTTTGGCTATGGACTTTTACATGAGTACTTTCATACTTGCCCATATACCCCTGTTACAGTAGCTAAAACCCACCAAAACTAAAGTGTCAATTTAAGAGAAATGGCTCGTGTTTTGCTATATTTAAATTTGTCAAACTGTCTTTATAGTGTCATGCTTTCAGTTAAAAGGTTCTGTTGCAAAGCAGCCCTTAGTGTAGTATTTAGCTGCCATTAAAAAATGAGCACGTGTTCTTTGATCAAAATAATTACTTACAGAATATATCTGTGTTTAAAGGCATATGGCTACTCATTCTCCTGAGAAAACCCACAAGTGTAATTATTGTGAGAAAATGTTTCACCGAAAAGATCACCTAAAGAATCACCTACATACACACAATCCCAACAAAGAGGCCTTTAAGTGTGAAGAATGTGGAAAGAACTACAATACCAAGCTTGGGTTCAAACGTCACCTGGCTTTGCATGCTGCAACAAGCGGTGACCTCACCTGTAAGGTATGTTTGCAGACTTTTGAAAGCACAGGAGTGCTGCTGGAGCACCTAAAAACTCATGCAGGCAAGTCATCGGGTGGAGTGAAGGAGAAAAAACACCAGTGTGAACACTGTGATCGTCGGTTCTACACCCGAAAGGATGTCCGTAGACACATGGTAGTGCACACTGGAAGAAAGGACTTCCTCTGTCAGTACTGTGCACAGAGATTTGGGCGGAAGGATCACCTCACGCGCCACATGAAGAAAAGTCACAACCAAGAACTTTTGAAGGTCAAAACAGAGCCAATGGACCTTCTAGATCCCTTTACCTGCAATGTTTCTGTGCCTATTAAGGATGAGCTGCTTCCAGTGATGTCTTTACCTTCCAGTGAACTGACATCAAAGCCATTTACAAACACTTTGCAATTAAATCTCTACAATACTCAGATTCAGTCCATGCAGAGTTCTGCATCTGCACACCAAATGGTTGCCACATCGTTGCCATTGGGAATGCCTTGTCCAATAGATATGGAGTCTGTCCATCCTTCTCACCAGCTATCGTTGAAATACCCACTCGGTACTACCTCATATGCAATTTCTATGCCTGAAAAAGAACAGCCATTGAAAGGGGAAATCGAAAGTTACTTAATGGAGTTGCAAAGTGGTATGCCTTCTTCATCCCAGGATTCTCAAGCATCTTCATCAAAACTAGGGCTGGATCCACAAGTAGGGACGTTAGATGATGGGTCTGGGGAGGTTTCCCTTTCCAAGGGCTCCGTTCCTATTAGCGAACCTCTAAACACCCCATCATTGGACTTTTCTCAGCTGTTCAACTTCATACCTGTAAATGGCCCTCCCTATAATCCTTCTGTTTCAGTGGGAAACCTCGGAATGAGTTATACGCAAGAGGAGGCACATTCTTCTATGACTCAACTTCCACCACACACCCAGGATCCACAAGATCCTAGCAATAGTATAGGTCTTGGGTCACTGCACTCGTTGTCAGCAGCCTTCACAAGCAGTCTAAGCACAACCACCACCCTACCGCGATTTCATCAAGCTTTCCAATAGGATGTACAAAGCTGGCTTGTTACTGTCTATATGTAGAAATGCCTTAGGTGACCATTTTTAACTTAGTGCCTACTATAAGACATTATAAATTCTCTGCTTTTGTACAGTACCAATCTCATGAAGCCAGTAAGAAATTTAAATTAACTTTTTAAAACTGTTTTGAAAGTGTTTATTCTCAGCTGTGTTTACTTTTTGTTTTTTTAAAAACCAGTCTCGTATTGTTTTCATTTTCACTGCCAATTGACACATTTAAAATGTTCGGTAGAAAGTCAACCCAAGCAAACTCTCAACACTCATCCCTTTTTTAAAACTTTTTCAATGATACCAGCTATTCCATTTTATTGATGTCAGTGGTAGAACTACCACTTTTACCTTTTAATATATTTTACTATTTGCAAAGAATCCCGTTAAAATGTGTATCACAAAGATGCCTGAAGATTTGGGAAAAAAATTCTCCAGTCCATTTCCAAACAAATCCTCTTCCCAAATGGTGACACATTTGATCTGTTTTATAATGACAAATCTAATTTTTTTAAACAAATATAGAATTCAGGTTTTTCTGAAAACTTGTGTGTGTATATATGAAAGTCCATATATACACATGTACATATATATAGCATTTTGACTTGTATTGAAGTCATTATAAAAGGTGTTAAGAATTTTGCCATTTTCTGGCTTAAATTTTTGTGGCCTGTTATGGATAATGGAAGAAAAAAATTTAGTTTAATTCTCTAAAATCATGGATGAACAGAATTTCAACAGAGAATCTCTGCTTGCCTAAATGACAAATGTTTCAAGTTGAATTTGGAACTGTGTTGTGCTTTCATGACTCTGGTAGAGGGAAACAGGCAAAATTAATGGCTGATCTTGAAATATAAAAGTGTTGTAACGTAGTAATGCAGAATATTTTGTCGCAGTTTTTTTTTTTTTTTTAATTCTTACCTTGCTGTTTTTTCTCTTTAGTAGCATAGAAAGAGTACTGCATAGGAATCTTCCAATAGTGTATTCACATTTGTAGGCATCAGTCTTCTCCCAGCTGCCACCGCCAAAGGGTGGATCAAGTCCAGCCAGAAAGTGTGTATCTATTTTCAGTTCAAAACTAGTGTGCAGTCAGAGAGTGAATGTAAATTTGCAAATACCAGTTTTTTGGTTTTGTTTTTTGGTTTTGGTTTTGTTTTTTTTTTAATGCAATGATTTTCTCAGTCGTGTTACATGGTGTGTTGTGTCCTCCTAAGCAACAAGTTAGATGTTAATCACGCTTTCTACACCTGGGTACTTGGTTAGGGACTTTTTGCCCATTGCCAAGATTTAAAGACAGGACTCTTAGGAGTGAAGTAAAAGCATATTGCTTACACCACTTTTACCTAATGCAATATATTCTATTCCCCAACCCCTAATAACCAAAAGAGGAAAAAAAAAAAAAACAAACAAAAACAACCAACCCTGTGATGCATGAAAGCAGACTAGATTTGCTGTAATTCAACAATAACATTCTTTTCCTTGTCATTTTTGTACAAGGAATTAAAAAATAGAAAACAAGTACATTAGTATCTCTCAAACAATAATGAGGATTCATACAAGGTTTTAAGTGGTTAAACTAAATATACTTCACAGAAACAAAAGTTGCTCCCGTTTAAGGAGCTCATGCTCCGGATGTTTTATCAGTAGCTCCTACTTTTTTTTTTTTTAATTCTAGGAGCAATATGCAGGTGTAGTTTTACTATTTTATACATATGTGTATTTAAATTTTATTACTGAAAGATAACATTTTTATAAATGTGTTTGTGTTCCAAAGGCATTAAAATAAGGATGTATTAATAAGGAAAATACTTTTTGAAATTCTGCAAACTACTCCTAGATTTTGGGTTTAGGAGCACGTTATCTCAAAGTGGGCTTTTAGCTCTGCTTCATGACTGCTTCCTTTGGTTTCTGTGAAACAGATTGCTCGCTTACTTACATCTTTAGTTGAATGATTTGTTCAATATTGCTTTTTTTCTCTTCACCTTTCTAAAGGAAAGAAAAACACAGATGAACAGAGCACAAGGTGAACGCAACCGAATGTAACTTTAGTTTAAATCAGCAACCATAACGCATCTAGGAAGAACTCGGGTTTGTTCTCAATCCTTTAAATCAATCTGAGATGAAGATAAATGGACTTAATTCCTCCAGTGGGTTATGTCCCGTGTGGAGCTGAGCATCTGCAACTCCTCCTGCAGCAAAGGAAAATTGCGAGTGCTCAGCTCCCCGCAGCCAGCCCAGCAGCATGGCGAGGCAGCACTGCCCGTCCTGGGCAGCCTCTGGCACACAAATTCCCAATCTGTAGCAACTGTTTATCAGTCTTAGTTGCCGATTAGACTTCATTAAAAAAGCAAAACCCAACAGACACCTTGCCAACACCCATTTCTTAGCACGTAGCCAGAATCCTTACTGCTTTGTTTGTGCCTTAGCTTCCTGAAAAGGGATTGACATTTCACTTTGGAGTTAGACATACATTTCACTTGAGAAATAGGGACCTCAGACAAGATATTGAACCTCATTCAGTCAGGGTTTCAGTGGGTGGCTGCAGTGAGTGTGTTTGCCACTGAACTAGGATGTACGGTAACATGGAAGCAGACTGACGCTGTAAGCAATACTACCACCACCGGAGTGCTTTTGGATTTCACTTAGGCAGAGTCAATATTGGCCACTACTAAACCGTCAGTTTTTAAACCCCGTTTTCTCGATTTCAGATGGATTCTTGGCGGGAGGGGGGAGGGCTGGCTGATTGTGCACCACTCTTTGTGCAACTTCTAAACTTCTAGTAAGGTTTGTTTTTTTAAAATATATATATTTTTGTGTACTTGTTGCTTGTGCTTTATTTAGTAGTAAATTGTGGAATAGAGTGATTTATTGTTAATTTGGCAGTAGCGGTTTTTAAAAACCATATACTGACTGAAACATGAGCCAGAGCTGATTGCTTTATTAAGCTAATAATGAATGTTAAGAGTACATATTTTCAGGATCATTTGCCTAGTGAGCTAAACATGTATTATAGGCCAATATTTTTTAAAATAAAGCTTGGTCAACCTCTATGTTACACATATTACAAGATATAGCACTTTCAAAAAGAAAACCTAAACCTTTTAAGAAAATTTCTTACAGGTTATGCTTTTTATTATAAAACCTTTTATTATAATTTGTTTCAAGTGCCATTAGATTACATATATGTAGGCCTTTGATATAATGCTTTGTGTACAAAATGGTAGACATCGTAATTTTAAACAGGTACATTTTTACAGTGTTTTCTTATCAATTTGCTATATTGCACAGAACCAGTGTGTCTTTCTTAAGGGTTTTACAATGGTTTTTACTAGGTTTACATGTTTCAAACTACACTGTCTTCTACTGCCATTTTGAATACCAGTCAAAAAAAAAAAAAATTGTCCTCACCAATTGCAAACTGTGTCCTCTGAAGTTCTGGATGGTAAACTATGGCAAAAATGTTTAACACGCAGTATTTGATACAGATTTTTTTTTATCATATCCTATCATCGCTATGCTGCTGTTTGAAGTTAACTTAGGGCCTGATCCTGCATCCATAAAGGTCGAGGGGAGCAGGATTGCATCCTTCGTTATATCTGTCTCATACACTGGTTTAGCAGCTCATCCTGTATTCTTCTCAGTCTATAGATAAGCCTCTGAAGTAAATGTACTTATCTGGTATGTAGTAAACCGTATAGGCTTAGCTGCCCATCTTGCGTTCTCCCAGTGTACAATTAGAACCACAACCTACTTAGCATCACGCTCAACGTACAAATAACGCCACAGTAGTTCAAAATGTGTTTGGATAGTCCCAAAGCTTTTATGCAATAAGGGTGTCTTACTTTTGTTGGAAGGCAGTGTCTTTTGATAACAGTTATCTAGCCCTGGAAGTGACACAGAACTATTGCTAATCATATGTAAACACTTTTCAGTATAAGCTTCAGTGGTACAGTTGAACCAGAGTGAATGTTTATCTCCTCAGAAACACTCCTGCAATATTGTTATATTGGATCATGCTGCTAATGTAACTTGGGATACAACTCCTCTCATGGTGCTACAAACCTCCCTGTCTCATTCAGATGTATTTTTACCCATAGAAAAAAGGACTATACTAGACCTATAGTTGTATGATATATTTTTATACTGTGACTTAATTTGTCATTAATGAACTTTGTGCAACACCACAATGTATTCATATGCACTTGCAAAAGTAAAATTTTGGACATGCAAATTTAAACGCTGACAAGCCCAGCTCTTGTTCATAAAAATAGGTGACTGCTAGTTAAAATTAAATGTGGGCTTTTTATATGGTGTGGAGTGAAGAACATGCTATATGTTACTAAAAGCCTTTGAATTTAGACAAAAACTGGGAAAAGTAGATTGGGGAATGATGTCACACCCAAACATGACTCCGATTGCTGAAATTATATTTTTAGCTAGTGGAAAAATTGTTTGGACTTGTATGCTAAAATGTTTTTATGATAAAAGTTTTGAGTCAAAAACAGAGGAAAAAAAAAAAAGAAAACAGAAAACTCTGCATTCCAGACTGAATTTGTATATGTTTCTTGCATTTAAAATTTGCTATCCTGTGATATGGGAAATTGAGTTGCTTATCATGTATATGTACTTTAAAATGTATTCACAAACTACTGTTGTATTTGTATAAAATATAGACAAAAAGATTGCATATATATTTTTGTGTATAAGCTCTGTAAAATAGCAATCACATTATGAAGCTGCAGCAGAACTTCATTTTAAACATTCACATCCAAAGAAACAGACTATTTATTGTCCACATACCCTGATTATAAAATATACCTTGCTGCTATTAAACAATAGTGCTGCAGCTTCTTGTGGCCTACAGTGTTATGTTTGCTGTACAAAAATATGTGAACTCCACAAAATATATCAATAAAATTACAGAATGGTTTTAGTTAATGAATAACTTATGCCTGGCATTTCAATAGATAATCTTTATCTGCATGTTTGGGATTACAAGAAGTAATTACAGACTACATCCAGTTTTGCTGGGTGTAGCTATTCTGAGTTTGCAAAGTTATAACTGTCTTGCTAATTTATGACTGGTAAAATGTCAGTTTTTCAGAAAATCTTAAAGCATAACTACCTGCGTTTCATGATTTCACCAAGGAACAAATTGGATGATGCTACTGCTACCGTCTCTCTGACAAAACAGATCTTAACTGAAGAAGCAATTGAGTTTGCCATCAAATTGCGCTTTGAAATGCTGTGAGATAGTGGAAGGTGAGTTTGGGGTTTCTGTAGTGGGACTGCTTATTTGGGAGACATCGGTGAGTGACTCTCCATTATTTCAGATTAATGCAAGTTACTTACATGGATTGTTACAGTTTGCAGGATAAACCGTAAGCATGTGTGGCACATGCTAGACACAGTATGCGGGTTGTCTCTCTGAAATATTTCCAGGAGAAACTCCGTTGCTTTGATCCCATAGATCTCCTGTTTGCCCATGACACTGTTGAAGAAGTCTGACTGTAATGCACTGGGGGAAGAGGTGCTACGCGGCCAGACGCGCAGCCTGATCACAACTGCAGAAAGTTGCCTCTCTGCTCGTTCCAGCCAGTTGTTCCCTAGCATAGACTGTTTGCCAGGAAAGTAAAAGACTAGCATTTCACGTTTCGCTGTTTTTCAGAATGTATTT